ACTACTACTACTACTACGACGCTGCTGCTGAAATTATAGCGATCACTAGCATTAATACTTCTGCCATTTGTCAATCTCACACCGTTTCTGCTGAGGTTGGCTATTGCTACTGACTGTAGCTGCTTCTGCTACTGCTGCTACTGCTCTACTGCTTCTATTACCGCTGCTACGGCTGTTCCGTTGCTGCTTCGACAACGACTGATTCGACAGCGAGACCACGACGATGACCCAGTGCCGCTGCCGGCGGTGCTGAATGACCTCGCTGCTACTACGAACACACTGAACGAAACAGCATTGCTGCTGCTGCTGCTCGCCTAAACCCCCTTTGCCTTTGGGTGCAGATCGCTGCTATTGGATCTGAATCAGGCTTCTGATTTGGACTCAGTGAGACCTTCATGGTTGAGGTATGCAAACAAGGTTTTGGCTTATGTGCACATGTCTGAACTCGTCTCACCGTCCTGCACGTGTCTGCTTCAGGTATCCTCCAACATTCCAAGTAGCATGGGTAGGGAACTCGAAATTCGAAAGAGTTGTTGACACATCAAAAATCATAAACGACTGTTTTCAAACACAAGGCAAGCCTGATTTCGCATCTCTTGCATAAGAAGGAACATCCCTCCATCCAAAAGCGAACCTTACAGTGCTTGATATTTCCAGGCCGCTGAATGTTATTTTACATGTGGAGCTTTGGTTGCATTCTCTGCCACAGGCGTGGACCGGCAATGTCATTTTCTGCTGCCGCGGTCGATGCATAACGGCTTATCCAAGCATCTTCTCCGGCAAAGAGCGGGATGTGGTGTGTAGTGTGCTGTAGGCTCGCTATTCGGTTGCATGTCCTGCTAGACTGTTACCACGGCAAGAACAATGCCCAAGGTGAGATACGAACGGTTGATTAATCTGCAGGATGTGCCCAAGAGCTGGACAAAGGCTGCCTTGCTCCGAACCCGCCACCCCAAACATTAAGCCCTGAGATCTTAAACCAGATGACCCTTAAACAAACAACGGAGACCTTAAACCGAACCGGTACCCTAACATCTTCACTGAAACCGAAAAGTCCCATGAAACGCCCTGGACGTTGACACATCGGGCTTCGCGGTTCTGATTCGATGGGGGCTTGCTTCTACGCTAAACCCTGAACCCTAAACCCTAAACCTCAACCCTAAACCTAAAAACCTAGACCCTAAACCCTAAACCTAAACCCTGAACCTAAACCCTGAACCACTGTTGTAGAGCTTTGGGCTTCTGATGTGTTGGACTTACGACAGACGCACAAACGTGTTCCAGTTTAGGGTTTACCTAGACCCCAACGAACCTACCTCTTTAAGGACCTATATAAGGAAGTCATAATAAGGAACCTAACAAGGTAGGTTCTTAAGGGTCCTGGTAGGGTTTAGGGGCTGACAAGCTTTAACGCTTTCCAATAGGGCCTTCATATTCGTTCATACAAACCTATAGACGTCCAACAACAGAGGCCCAATAGTCCTAAACAACAAGCCGCGAATGAGGCTTGGAATCGGAAGGCTTAGATGAGCATGTGTGTCCACCGTGTCCTCTGGAAGGTGGTCCTGCAGTCTGCGCATGGTCCTTTATCCTGGTTCCCTGTGGGCCGCTCGGCAGTTTTGCGAAAGAAGCCGCCAACCTCTTGCAAAACGTACAAAGTTCGGCTACGCCTCATTTCAGGATTGGGCGGAAAGAGATGTGTCGGGGCAGTTTGGTTGGTTCCATGCCACGATGCCGGGCAACCCAAGGCCGAAATCCAACACGTTTCGACCCAAACCGCCGCCGTCCCGGTCTCCCATCCCCTCGACAGCATTGCCTATGAGGATTTACACCATCTTTGCCGAGCGCCTGTGGCAAGAATGGTTTCCTGTGGTGCCCATTGCAGCCGCGCTCATGTTTTTCGTCACGACGATGTCCCTTTGCTGCCTTAGATGTACCTCAGTCTGAACCGCCTAACGCTGCTCGTCTGTCAAAGACATGTCTGAAGCTACCTACCGTGAGTGGCTCACCTCTATCGATACCACGTGTGGCGCATTAGACAAGATCTTTCCGTCTCATTTTCGTCGCCCATGACCCTGAGTCCGACACACCTAGTGTAGGGGCCTCAACAATTACATACATTATTTTGGGGGGCTCCTCATTAAAAGGATACCATAAAGGACCCCAAAAACCCTATTTGAATTATTCAGGCCCCTATACCCTGAAGCCTTATAGTGGCCCTTAATAGAACCCTTAAAGGAACCCTTAAAGGAATCCTTAAAGGAGCCCAACAATCCTAATTCTAATCTTTAAGGCCCCCTATATGACCACCAAAAACCCCCAAAGTTCAGAGGTTAGAACCCTAAGCCCTAAACCCCTAAACCCTAACGGTTTAGGTTTAGGGTTTGGGGTTTGGGGTTTAGGGTTTAGGGTTAACCTTAAACCTTAAACCCTAAGCCCCTAAACCCTAAACCCAAAGCCCTAAGCCCTAAACCCTAAGCCCGACGCCCTAAGCCCTAAACCCAAACCCTACAAGCTCTTAAAAGCCCAGAAGATCCAAAGCCCAAAACGCGAGAAAAGAAAACCCGACATCCAAAGCTCTGAGCCCCTTTAAGGCTCGGGTCAGGGTTAAGGGTTTTGGGATTGAGGGTTAAGGGTGTTGGGTTAAGGGTTTTGGGTTTAGGGTTTTGGGTGTTGGGTTTAGGGCTTAGGGTTTAGGGGTTTTGGGTGTTGGGTTTTGGGTCTGGGGTGTTTAGGGTTTATGGGTTTATAAAGCCTAAACCCCAGAGATCGGGTCGTATTTGTCGAGGCTGCTTTGCCTTACCTGCTGCTCTGATCCTGGCATCATCCCGCGCCGGAAGTTCATTCTCCAAGCTGGGCCGCAGCGCACGCACTGGAAGCGTCTGAGTTCCGGGTGCTCACTTTTTAGGGTTTAAGGTTCCAGGGTTTAGGGTTTAGGGTTTAGGGTTTAGGGTTTTAGGGTTTAGGGCTTAGGGTTTAGGGTTTAAGGTTTAGGGTTTTGGGGTTTCAGGTTTAGGGTTCCAGGATTTAGGGTTTAAGGTTTAGGGTTCCAGGATTTAGGGTTTAAGGTTTAGGGTTCCAGGATTTAGGGTTTAAGGTATAGGGTTCCAGGGTTTAGGGTTTAAGGTATAGGGTTCTAGGGTTTAGGGTTTTAGGGTTTAGGGGTTCAGGTTGTAGGGCTTCAGAACCCCTGACCCCAAGGCTAAATCCTAAACCCCCTAATTAATCCCACAGCTCCTACACCCTAAACGGTGGATCCTACCATTCAGGGTTTCTAACCCAAAGCCTGATCAAACGGCCCAAGGATCCTAGTGTTCTTTAACCTCAATTCTAATTCTCAGCACCCCTGAACCCTACCCGCACCCGGAGAAACCTACATTTGTCTGGGATATTCTGATTTCCTTGTGTACGTCCTCAGAAAGGTAGGTCATTTGGGGTTAAGGCTAACCCCAAACCCTAAAGCATAAACATAAGGTAAGGCCTAAACGGCTCAAGGATCCTATTGCTCAGCCCAAAACCCTAAACTCAGCGTCTTTCTTCACTGAGGATGGAGAAGGAGCTCACCGAGATGCTAGGCTCGGGAATGTTCTGTTTTGGTGTTTTGGGGTTTAGGGTTCTGGAGTTTTGGGGCTTAGGGGTTTAGGGTTTGAGGTTTTGGGGTTTAGGGCTTAGGGGTTTATGGTGTAGGGGTTTAGGGTGTAGGATTTTGAGGTTTGGGGTGTAGGGCTTTGGGTTTCCTTGACGTAAGGGTTCTTACTCTGGGTTCCAGAAGGGCTTCTGAATAGGGCGTATGGGTTTTAAGGGTTCATGTACGGATGGTTGTATAATCAGAAAAGTTTCTGTCGGGGTTATATGGTTTTTCACGATGAGGGGGGGGTGCCTCTAAAAGTATACAGGGGCTAGACAGATTTTGCGAGCTTCTTTTGAGGTTTAGATGAGGTTTTATACAGGGCTCAGATTTGATTAGGGTTGCTTTTCAGCGTGTTAGGCTTAACTTACGACTTTCGGGCTTTCTGGCTTCAGGGTTTGCAAGCCCTTCCTGGGGATCCAAAAACCTACCGTTTTAAGGGTTCTACCCTCTATTTAAGTTTTCATAACCTACTATTTTGTAGGGTTTGGGGTCACAGGTTAACCCTGAACACTCATTTAAGGTTACTCGTGCTTCCAGGCTTTAAAAGTTGACGGTCCAGGCTCCGAAGCTGTGTGAATGATTAGCAATACTGCTTTTGGGGGGTGCCTTGTTACAACTACAGTGTAGTATACCCCAAAATTATATTAAGGCCCCTGTATTGCTCAGATAGTAGAGGTTTTGACCCCAAATGCCGCAGGTTATGAAGTGCTTGGTAAGGGCCAACCTACTGGTCAGCTTGACGTCGCGGCTCACCTGCACTGCAGACAGCCTACGTATCTCCCTCTCTCTCTGCATGTTGGGGCTTTTGCAAAGGAGCCACGGCAGCAAAGCCCTATAGACCTACGACCTCTTACAAAAATAACCCTATAAACCCTAAACTAAGCCAAAGCCACACCAATGCCCTAATTAGACCCTGCGCCTGGCCACCGAACCGATGCATGAGAGCAGAGAGCTTCTGGTCAGAGCCAGGCAGCTAAAAATGTATAGGATTTAGGGTTTAGGGGTCTCGGCTTTAGGGGGCTTTAGGGGCTTAGGATTTGGGGTTTAGGGTTTAGTGGTCCAGGCTTTAGGGGGTGTTAGGGGCTTAGGAGATGGGTTTAGGGTTTAGGGTCTGGGGGTTAAGGGTTTCCAAATCCCAAGAGGCCCAAGCCGAGCGCCAAAGACCATTGACCCTAAACCCCAACACTTGTCCTCGAGCCTAGACCTACATCTCCAGGCTCCCTTTCATAAACGCCCTACCTATTCCCTGAATACCATAGGAACATGAAGAATTAAGAATACCATTTTGGGGGCTCCTTATCATGATTATACTATAAAGGAGCCCAAAACCCTATTCGATTCATTAAAGGCCCCTACATTATGGGTCTTATATGGATGGCTGGAGGTCATGACTTGAACTATAGCATCTTCCCCCGCAAACAGTTCTAAATTCTAAGTATGAAGGACATGACACCCTGTAGAACTCCAACCCTAAACCTATGAGGGCAGTCCGAACCCTGCAGCAAAAAAAAAAAGCAATCTGGCTGTCAAGGCCCACTGTTCAGCACTAATGTAGTGGCCTAAATAATGTTCAATATTTTTTTTTTGGGGGGGGGGAGGGTCCTTATTGTAATTATAGTATAATGGGCTCCAAAACCTTGTTCGAATCATTAAGGCCCCTACATTAAACCCTAAACCCTTGTAGTAGCCGTTATAGAACCCTTTAAGGACCCCTTAAAGGAACCCAAAACCCTATTTTAATCATTAAACCCAAAACCCTTGTAGTAGCCGTTATAGAACCTTTTAAGGACCCCTTAAAGGAACCCAAAACCCTATTTTAATCATTAAACCCCAAAGCCCTTGCCGGACCCAAGGATGGCAGCGCCATGGTTCCCGATGAGCTGAGACGGAAGCCGGGAACTTGCGGGGTTTAGGGTTTAGGGTTTAGGGTTGAAAGGGTTTAGGGTTTAGGGGTTTAGGGGTTTAGGGTTTAGGGTTTAGGGGGATGTTTGGACTTGGCCTTGCAGCTTTCCTTTGAAAGCTTTAGGGGTTACCTGGACCCCGAAGAACCTACCTTTTTTAGGGTTCCTTCTTATGTTTTTTTTTATTTGAATCCATAAAGCCGTAGGTTATTTGGGGTTAAGGTAGGGCTTAGGGCAAGTTTAGGATGTGGGGAGCTTGAGGGTTTAGGTTCTACGGTGTAAGGTTTGTCAGGCTTGGGGTGCAAGGTTGTATGGTTTAGGGTTCATGAAAGCATACATCCCAAGACTTGATTTGTTTATTCTTATGTGAGATAGAAATTGAAATTTAGGATTTAGAAAACAGAGGCCCGCTACCTGTTTTTTGGAATCGGGCGATGTTGGGTTCCATACCAGTTTTCAATGCGGGGGGGGGGGGGGGGGGGGNNGGCGGAGTTACACCTTGCAGCTTTGCTTGAGCCACCTTGGCCTCTTGCCTGTAGGGTTTCCTGTGACGGTGGTCTGGGTGAACCAGCTTGAGTGTTCTGTCAGGGCCCAGGGATCTGTCGCACAATGCCGGGTATTCGCTCAGGAGTTTTTTGTGTGGCAGTGGAATACACATAGAGAAATCGATCCATGAATTTTGACGTGCTTGTAGCGATGCCAAGGTGGCATGTCTCGCGAAGTAGATATGATTTGTCCTTTCTGTACTAGAGCAAGGTGTATTATTTTCAAGAAGAAGGTTTACGTGATTCGGTGCTTTGGTAACTGTCGTACTCATCCATAAATCTGTTGGTGCCGGGTTCCTAAACCCTAAACCGTTGTAATTGCGCAAAGGTTCTCGCAGCCAGGGTCTAAGATGCTCGACGATGCTTTTCCCGTTAAGCGGGCACCCCAAATGCGAAGCCCTAGATCCCCAGTTTATAATCCAAAGCACACACAAACATACATGTCTACTTATATACACACAAACATACATACTTACTTACTTACGTAAATTTGTAAAGAAAGAGCTTTACCTCTATCTCTCTCTATGTATATTATATATATATATATATATACATACACGCATCTAACTACAACTTAAGCTCGGTCTCCTACAAGCCGATATTTTGAGCCCGGTACAGTAATTAGATAGAACTCGCAAGACGAAACCATTCCAAAACCTTCTGTAGTCCTTACAGAATCCCTGGATGTCTACAACCATGAAACGAGCTTCAATTCAAGCAACTTCAGAATCGCTCACGAACGTGCAATCGCTTGCCGCAAGCGGTAGCCCTCGGCAGGGGTTACAAGTGGTGCCGCACGTGCCAAATCGTGCGTCCGCCGCGCTCCTCCCACTGCCACCTGCTCTCATTCAGCATAATGCGAGCAATGTTACTTCCTTATAACAGGTGGTATCGATAGTAACCATGTTAAATGTTTGTTCATCGATGGTATTTTCGCTTGGAATAGTGGTACTAGGACTATCGTCTATAGTACTAGTACGAGTACTAGTAGTAGTAGTAGTAGTAGTAGTAGTAGTAGTAGTAGTACCAGTAGCAAAGTAGCGGTACGGGAGCGGTCGAAGCAGTAGCAGTAGTGCGCAGTAGCAGCCACAGGCTTGGCAGTAACAGTAGTTGTTTAAGTAGTAGCAGTCGTAGCCGTCGCAGCAGTACTCGTAGCAGTAGTAGCGTGGAAGAATTAGTGGTCGTCGGGTAGTAGCCGCAGCACGCGAACTAGGCGTAGTAGTCGCTAGGCTTTCATCGTGGTAGTTGTAGCCGTTGTCTCACCATTCGTAGTACTAGACGTCGTCGTCGTCCCCGTCATAGTACCAGTAGGAGCAGGAGCAGTAGTACCATTGGTGGCAGTAGTGGTGGCAGTAGTAGTAG